GGGAAAAGACTGGGTACCAAGACCAGACATGGGCCTCGACCTCATGGAGCTTGCAGCCTGGCCAGGAGGCAGACATCAAACAGATAATTGACAGTATAAGCCTACAAATAATTAAACAGGGTGTGGTGAGGGCTGAAAAAGGAGCACACAGAGAAAGATGCACCTAGGGTGGGTTATGGGGTAGGGAGTACAGGTTCCCCCAAAAAGTGCTGTTGAGATGAGACCTGGAGAGAGGAAGAGGAGATGCCGAGGGTGGGGCTGTGGCCTTTTGGGACAAGGAGCAGGTTGAGTTTGAGGCAGTGTCAGCAGGCCAGTGTGAGTGGCATTGGCGTGGATTTTATGGCCGGGCCACTGGGAGCCGTTGTAGGATCTTGAGCAGGGGAGTAGGGGGTGGAGTTTGCCATCCTGGAACATGGCTCTGGATGCTGAGTGGAGAATGCATATCTTTGGGGAGACTCTTGCTGCTCTCTGGGCAGGAGAGAATGGTGGCTTGTTATAATGAGGGACAGAGGGATGCCAGCTATGCCCCATGCTGGGACCCACCCATAGCAAGAGAAACAACCCTCAGTTCTTGCCCTCAGGGTGTGCCCAGTCTGTTCCCAACCCTGCACTTCCTAACACTGGTGAATTTCCACTGTGACCCCTCCCCTCTGGCCGGACACTGCCAGCCAGGAACGGTGGAGCTGCTGCCTCTAGCCCCCAGCGTTGTCGTGTTTCTGCACCAGCTCCATTGGCTTGTCACCAGAGTGGGGGATGTTTTCAGAAACCTTCTTCGAGGCATGGATGCATGCCTGCTCTTGTAACCAGTGCATGTCTCTTTTTCTTTTTTTTTTTGCTGCAGCCAACTGGGTACATGGAAAACTCAGTCTCCTACAGCGCTATTGAAGACGTTCAGCTGCTGTCCTGGGAGAATGCCCCGAAGTACTGTTTACAGCTCACAATTCCTGGGGGAACTGTCTTACTGCAGGTAGGAGAAATAAACATGAGCAAGCAGTTTCTTCTCATCTTTGCTCACTAGCCCTCTGCATTTCCCATGGAGGGAGGCAGCTGACTACCGGGAGGAAGGGTGGTTTTTAACTCAGGGTGTTTTTTCTTCCAAGTGTGAGAAAGGTATAAACTGGGGCTCCCTGGGGAAGAGGAGGAGGGAATGTGCATAGACTGAACTCCTACTGCATGCCTGCCACGGTCTGGGAGGATTACATGTTATTTGTTTGGTTCCCTTAATAAATCTGAGAAAGAAGTTTTAGAGTCTTCACTGTACAGATGAGTAGACTGAGGCACACAGGCAAGTTGCTATAACTCAGAAGGCTGTGAAAAGCAAATGAGCAAAAGATGCTACCTTTTGCTTTACTTCAAGTCGTTGAGTTTCTTCATGTTGATTTAAGTCTTCTGAGACTAAAGGAAGTATGAGCTGTTTTCTCAAAAAAAGATGTACCTTCTGTATGTAGTTGTAGGGACTTCTGGTTGGAAATGACACAAACATTATTCAGACAAGTGAGGCAAAAAGAGATTTAATGCCGTAACTATTAAAATAACTGGGAAGTCCAAGAGAGGACTTCAGGCATAGCTGGCTCCAGCGGTCAAATGCTATCATTAATATTCAGTGTCTCTCTTCATCTCCTGGCTCTGCTTCTGTGTGTTGGCTTTATTGTCAAGCAGAATCTCATGTGGTGGGAAGGTGGACTACTGGCAGCCCCTAAGCCACATTTTTAGAGTTCATAATCCTTAGAAAAGTGAGAGCATTTTTCCTTTCGACCCCTCTTATAAAATCTCATGGAAGGTTCTGGTTGGCTCTGCCATGGTCCCATTCACCCCTTGATAATGCACTGCCCTGGATTACCTGTCTACCAGGACCACAGTGAGGCGGAGAGGCAGGTCTATCGAGAAAGAAGTGGCCGTCAAAAATAAATGCCACTGCAGCACATAAAATATGTTATATATCTTGTCAGGGGTGCCACCCCAATCTCCAGAAGGGACCCCAACTCAGAAACCCCTCACCTGGAGAAAATATACCCTCTTAGCTGTGGGAGAAAGATCTGCCTTGACCTTTCTTTTAGGAGCATTTTCTTTCTAATCCTATCTGTCCAGGGAAGCTTTCTCGTGGCCCAAAGAGATGTTCCCTAAAACCTATTTCAGAAGTGGCCACCTGATTTTGCAACAGCTCTGAAGCTAAGAGTCCCCCAGTTTGGCCTCTGAGGAGTGCCGGGCTTGGTAGTTGAGTGTGAAAGCTAAACATCATTTAGAAGAATCCTGTGTTTTACTGTCTTGTCTTGGAGGACACCAGAAACCATGCCTTTCCCAGTCTGTTTTCTTCTCACGTCTCCCACACTCTGCCTCCTGCACGTCGTCTTTGGCCTGCCCTACCTCCCGCTTCCCCTCCCCCAGCGAAGCCTTCCTCTCTCTCCTCCCATCTGTATTATAGAGAGCAGCCTCGCCCCTCCTGACAGACCCCTCTCCTTCGGCCTCTCTGTCCACAGCACAGCCTATGAAGGGGTGGTCTGTGCCAGCCCCCTCAGGGTGGTAGGTGGGTGGGCAATAACGGGATTCTGCAGCCAGCTAAGAGAGGGAGAGACGCCTGAGAATATTCTACTCGAACGACTTTCCTGCCATTGCCGAGTGGTGAGCCAGGCTCTCTCCCATGCAGGGGTGGGGGGAAGCCCATCCTTGAAGAGCTCCTCAGCCCCCTGGGAGACAGAGTCATAAACAAATGATTACTGAAATAATGGCTAAAATAGAGGCGTGTCCCAGAGGATAGGGAGCCCAGAGGAGGGAGTGACTCACTGGGCCTGGGGGTGCCAGAGCAAGGCTCCCCAGGGGCGGGGGCATTGCAGCTGGGAGTAGAGGGATGATAGCAGTGTGCCAGGATGGTGGGGTCAGGGCACACACTTTGGGCACAGGGGGCGAGAGGGCAAAGCATGAGTGGGGAGTAGCTGGGTATTTGCTGCTGCTGGGGGAGAGGGGGAGGTGGAATTTGGGGCCTGTGGATGCATCCAGAGCTGCTGGATGATGGCCAGGTCATGCAGGCCTTGTTAGTCAAGGGAAGAAGCCTTGGACTGTATTCTGAGGCAATAGGGAGCCATTGAAAGCTCTTAAGGAGGGGGAAAGGACACTAGAGGACTTGGTCTGTTTGAGGGCAGAGGGGCTGGATGTGTGTGAGTGACGAAGGGAGGCAGGAGGGACACTCTTCAAATAGTCCCATCACAGGAGGAGAGGCCCTGAGCCCCCACCTTCCTGGGCGTGGTGGTCACTGTCGCACCAGTGGGAGGGCCTTGTTCCTTCTGGGACTGGAGGGGGCAGCCCTGTCTTTCAAGAAGGCCAGAGCATCACTCTCCCCGGGGACAGAAGGGCAGTGGGGCTGCAAGGGATACAGGCTGTGGGCAGTGCCTGGAATGTCCCTTTAACCTGGGCCGTGGCCTCGGGCCCGGCTGTGATGACTCGCTGGCCGGGCTGCAGTGGCCTCACGTCAGAGCTCCTCCTGCGGTGCTGAGCGGGCGGGCCTCTGGCTGCTCCGGCATCCCACTTGCTCACTGCCCCTCACTCCAGTGGATGGTGCAGCCAGAGGCAGGAAGAGGAGGAGGAGGAGACAGAGGAGGAGGTCGGCAGCTCCTCCGATCCAGAGCCGGACTCAGAGCTAGGGCCAGGGAAGGAGAAGCCGCCTTCCACCCCTGTCGCCCAGGGGAGCCAGGTGGGTGCAGCCCAGCCCCTGCCTGCCGTGGGTCTCTCCCTTGCTGTCATTTCCACCAGGCCAGGGGAGGTAGACCAGCACCAGCTTCTACCTTGCTTCACCCTGCTCCCTTTGCCTTCCCGTGATCCATGGGTGGTGTGCGGCTGTCTTGTTCTATTAATGGGATCTGAGTCATCCCGGACATGGGCTCTAGGTTGGGAGATCCATATGGGTATGGGGAGGCTGGGGAGTGAGCACCTAGGCCCCAAAGTGGTGCCCCAGAGGTGCTAGGCAGGGTGTTTTTCGGTACCGACTGGTCCAGAAGCCGTTTGTGACAGATGGTGGGATCCTTTGTGTTGTCTTGAGTTACGTATGACATGCTGTATAAGGATCCAGAGGTGTGGTGTCGCAGAGAGCAGCCCTCCTGGCCCTGGGGACTGATCTTTTCTATTCCGAGGTGGGAGGGGGAACCGAGAAGCAGCCAGGTGTGCTGATGGGTCTGGGCCCATCTGAAGAGCCCCCAGTTGGCAGAGGAATCAGGATGCCTTGAGCCATGTCCAGCACAGCAGCTGCTCAGTGCACACGGCCCTTTGTGTTTGCGTTTAATTTACTCAAGCAAATTAAGAACATAGCTCCTCAGTCCACTAGCCGCATTTTCTGTGCTCAGTAGCCACACGTAGCTAGTGGCGACTACTGGACAGCACGAAGAACATTTGCACTGCTGCAGAAAGTCTGTTGGGCAGGCTGGCCTCGAGAACTTTCCATGTTGACCTTAGGCTTTGTGCAGCAGACCCCCTTCCACCCCCGCAGGGGAAATAGCCTCAGAACTCAGGGGGTTCTTCAGTATTCCAGCATTCCCGCATCCCTGATTGGGACCCCATCTGCTGCGTGTGGTACAGCTGTTCTGTACCCAGGGTCAATGTCAGGGGGCTCCAGAGGCTTCCAAGAGGGGCCAGTGTCCTTTCCTTCCCCAGGCTGCCTGATCTCTCCTTGTCTCTCTTTCAGGGTCTCTGCATCTGTGTGTCTGTTTTCATCTTTCTTTCTGACACTGTTTCTCCATCTCTTGCTCTCCTGCCCCCTCCTTCTGTCCTCTCTCCTTCTCTCTCTTTCTCTCTTATGTCTCACTCTGGGCTCCTCTACAGTTTCTTCTTCCAGGCCTCTCCATACCTCTCTCTACCTCTGAGTGTCTCTGCCTGCCTCTGTGTGTCTCTCTCCTCTTCTCCCCTTTCCTCCTCCTCCTCTCTCTGTCTCCCAGGGACCTCCCTACAAAGCTCCTACTTTGTTAGAATTTGAATGGGTGCCTCATGCAGACCTCCGAGCTGACCTGATAGTTCCAGGAAGGCTAAGAGGACACGTGCCTTCTCCCCAGCCTGGAGACACTGAGCGGTCTGCCAGTAGGTCGATTTGCCAGACACAGGCACCCACCCTTCCGCCTGGGTCCAATGCGTGTGCTCTGGATGCTTCATGTTTTTCAGCGTGAGCTCCCCTAATGCTGTGTTATTAGAATCCCTGGGTGCAGAAAGGACCTACTTATCTTCTTTCCTCCCTTAATGCCCTTTCTGCTAGCGTTTCATTGTGAGGAGGCCAACTACATAACTACATGAACTGCGGAATGAAGCATCCTGGCCCCAGGGGTGGGGTAGCGGGTGTTAAAGGGTGATATGGTGCAGGTTGTCCCCGGGGGATTCTGCCTTGCAATTGGGTTTTGACCCATCTGCAAGAAAGGACAGAGCCCTGGCTCCTCGAACAAGGCTTTGGGGCTATCAGAGCAAGGACAGCCTTCTCCCCGAGAGCATCAGCTTCTGTCTGGGCCCATTTCCGAGACCCAGCTCTGCTCTCGATGTTCCCAAAAGTCCTGCAGGAGACTGAGCAACTGTTTACCCCAAACATTGGAAGCAGGGCAGGGACAGGGTGGGTTCCTTTCTTACTGGAAGCTGGAGAGAAAGACCTTTCCAGTCTGGAAAGCACGTTTGTTTTTCCATAAGAAATTGGACCAGGGCAGGGGAACTTGGGAACAGTCCCGTACAGTGCACCCTTGGCTGTTTTTCTCACCTATCGAGACAATGCAACAATGAGAAAGAACTTGGCAGCTTTCGAAGAGGAAATTAGGCAGAATTTGCCTGGAACCAAGCCCTTTCAGTATTCGAAAGATTTATCACTAGGAGGAGTGAGAACCCGGCCTGTGCAGATCTGGGGGATTAGGGGTGGGAGCAGGGTTCTTTCCCATGTGTGACCCTCAGGACTCCCAGCTGTGCCTGGCGTCCCCACTGGGCTGGGTTGTCCCGACTCAGCCCAGCGGGGCA